GGGGAATATTATATTCTCATCCTGAGAATGAATGCCCTTTTTCATGCGTGACAATACCTTACTGGCCTTGGCCACTGCTGATTGACATTGCACATTGTTGCATAGTTTGATATCTATAAAAATTCCCAAGACCTTTTCGTCTGTTGTTATCCCTAATAATTCGCTTCCATTAAGGGTATACGTTGCTTGTGCATTCTTTATGCCGAAATGCATAACTTTAAATTTTTTCAACATTAAATTTTCAAAATTAAATGTTTCAACATTAAATGGAGCATTTTTCTATCTAAATCCCTCTGCAGCAAAGTAATATCTTGCTCACCTTGTATTACTTTACAGAGTTTTGTGTCATCTGCAAACACTGAAACATGACTTTCAATGCTTTTTTCAAGATCATTTATAAACATGTTAAATAGAAGGGGTCCCAGAACAGAACCCTGAGGGCAGGGCCGGACTGGGAAGAAAATTCGGCCCGGGTATTTTTTAATTACAGCGGCCCACTAAAAAGTGGGCGGGGCCAGATAGGGTGTGTTTTGTCATCACCAATGACAAGCACGCCCCATCACAAAGTGAGCATGTTGGTTCAATGCTCTTCCAGGGTAGACCATGCGCAGAGCTCTGCTGAAGAGCTCTGGCATGAGAAAAATACCCTGTATTTGTTCTGCACAGCGCAAGCAAATTTAATAACATGCTTGCACTGTGTTTGCTTGAAATTTGTCTCTGGTGTCTCCATAGTTGGGATACCAGGAGACAAAAATGCCAGGAAAGCATATTGCGCAGTGTGTGTGAGGGTGCTCTGTGTGTGTTAGGGGTGCATTCTGTGTGTGCTGTGAGTGTTAGGGGTGCAGTGTGTGTGTGCTATGAGTGTTAGGGGTGCATTGTGTGTGTGCTATGAGTGTTAGGGGTGCAGTGTGTTTCTGCTGTGAGTATTAGGGGTGCATTGCGTGTGTGCTGTGAGTGTTAGGGGTGCAGGGTATCTGTGAGTGAGGCTGCTGTGATTATACCTAAGTGATTACCTGCTTACCTTTAGCCTGAGAGGGGGGGATCCTGCTGCTGGGGCTGCCATCCATCCCTGGTGGTCCTAGTGGTGAGTGAACTCTAGCCTGTTGGGCTAGAGTTCACTCTCGCGAGACCCGGAGCGTTGCCATGGCAACGCTCCGAATCTCGCGAGAGGAACCTGGCGGAGCTGTAAGTTAGAGCTCCGCTGGGTTCCTCTGCTGGCAGGCTGGCTCTCTCCTTCTCTCCCCGCTGGCGGCCGGAATATACTGGATGTGGGCCGGTGAGGGAGATCTCTGATCTCCTCACCACGGACTACTGCAGGGCCCGCGCTCGGATAGTGCCGGCCCTGCAAAGACCGGCAGGAGAGATCCTGTGATCTCCCTGCCGGCCTCTGCCCACGGCCACCGCGGCCCACTGGGCATTTGCCCGGTGTGCCCGATGGCCAGTCCGGGCCTGCCTGAGGGACATCACTTGCCACCTCTGTTCAGCTTGAAAATTTACCATTAATGACAACTCTTTGTACTCTATTTTTAAGCCAATGTTCTAACCAAGAACAAGTATTTTCATCTAAATTGTGTGGAACTGTATCAAATGCCTTGGCAAAATCTAAATAGATCACATCCATTGCAAAACCCTGATCTATACTTCTACTTACTTCTTCGTAGAATGCAATCAAGTTAGTTTGACATGACCTGTGTTTCAAAAAAACATGCAGATTTTTGCTGATAACCATGTTCTTCTCAAGGAATTCTTGAATATTATCCCTTAATAACCTTTTAAATACTTTTCCAGCCACAGAAGTTAAAGGGAAACTCCAGTGCCAGGAAAACAATCCGTTTTCCTGGCACTGCAGGTCCCCTCTCCCTCCCACCCCCCAATCCCCGGTTTCTGAAGGGGTGGAAACCCCTTCAGTAACTTACCAGAGGCAGCAACATGTCCCACATCGCTGCTTCTTCCTCCGCCGCCGCTCCTCCCAGTGATTGCATCGGCTGGTGGGCGAGACTGATCCCGCCCACCGGCCGGGGAGACCTAATGCACATACGCGGCAATGCCGCGCATGCGCATTAGAGCTCCCCATAGGAAAGCATTGAAAATTTTCTGTGCTATGATGCAGGAAGTGCCCTCTAGTGGTTGTCTAGTAGATAACCCAATGCTTCGGGTGCTGCAGTGTTGGGTGAGCTGGGAGAGCAGCCGTCTCTTCCCCGCTCTGCATGGTGTAGGCCCCCAGCCTCCGGTCCGGTTTCCCAGTGGGCATTTGAACAGGCAATGTGTCCCCGGGTACCCCTGCCTCCATATAGCAAGGTGAGGTGCGGTGGGGTTCTGAATTAGGCGATTTTCCCACTGTTTTCTGCTGAAAATTGGGTTCAGGCTCCGGAGCTCACAGAAAGTATGTCTGTTCAGCTTTCCAGTCAGGCCCCGCCCCCGTTTCCTACCTTTTAGGTGTATGAGGGTGACTTTCCCTGGGGTGCAGTGGTGGCTCAGCCTGATGGGAGTCAGAGTTCCCACTCTGACTCCCTCCTCTCCCTCCTGCGTGGCTCCTGGTGGTTGCTGGGAGGAAGTGACGGAGGCAGTCACTTCCTCCCAGCTGTGATGTCATCTCAGGGGCCCCGCCACGCTGTTAAAGCGCCACAGCACTGACCGGGCCCCCTGGAAATGAATTTCCATTGGGTGGCCCTAAGAGCATGGGCCACGTGACGGACCCCTAAACGTGCAGCCCCGGCGGTTCTACCGAGCGGCCGCAACACATGGCGGCGGGCACCGCGGTTTCCCGGCCCCCTGGAGTGGAAGGCCCTGCGACTGCAGTTGTTCCGCCACTGGCAGCACACTGCCCCCTCCATGCCACTCATGTTAACTCCACCTCTAGTGGCTGTCTAACTGATGCTGGACTTCCTCACACTATGCATGAGGAAGCGTCAGCTAAAATCCCATAGGAAAGCATTGGTTTAATGTTTTTCTATGGGGTATTTCTAATGCAACCGGACCCTTGCCACGCATGCACATTAGGTCCCTGACGTCGCCTGACATTGGGGGGAGGAGGAACAGAGCATGACCCAGCACTAGTGGACATTGGCTTTGGATTCCGGTAAGTGACAAAAGTTTTTTTTTTTAACCCTTTCTTCGCAGCAGGGGGCACAATTGAGGGGGGCACTATAGGATACCATAGTGCTAGGAATACAATTTTGTATTCGTAGCCTATAGTTTCCCTTTAATATGGCCAAAACAGTGTTAATGTAAATGCAACTCCTCTAAATACAACTGACATATGAGTCCAAATTATTGATAGATTCAACTGGCTAGTTTTAATGTACACTCTGATAGAACCTGTCTACCTGTAAAATGTGTTCAGACAGGGGCTAATTTCCATACAAGTTATTATAAAAACTGTCATTAGCTTAGTTTTTACAGCTACATTTTGGAAAGAAAGTCTAAACTTCATATTTATTGGTCCAATATACCCCAATTTGATTCATTTTAAGTAGGTTTACCATTTGCCCACTGGCTGCTTGTGTTGCTAGTTGACAGATATTGCAGATTTCTGTAGGTTCCCTTACAGAAAAAAAAAGGTGATTTTAAGTGTTTTAAGAAAGAAAGAAAAAAAAAAACCACTTTAGACACAACAGGGTAATCCCTAAATCCTGGACTGGTAGGGGGTGTTTGCATAACATTCAGCAGCTCCATCTGTATGTTTTGGATTAAACTGACTAGTTAAAGGACCACTATAGTGCCAGGAAAACATACTCGTTTTCCTGGCACTATAGTTCCCTGAGGGTGCCCCCACCCTCAGGGACCCCCTCCCGCCCGGCTCTGGAAGGGGGAAAGGGGTAAAAACGTACCTTTTTCCAGCGCTGGGCGGGGAGCTCTCCTCCTCCTCTCCGCCTCCTCCGCCGGCTGAATGCGCGGCAAGATTCAGCTCGCCGCATGGAAAGCATTTACAATGCTTTCCTATGGACGCTATGCTCACTGAAAATCACAGTGAGAAGCACGCAAGCGCCTCTAGTGGCTGTCAATGAGACAGCCACTAGAGGATTAGGGGGAAGGCTTAACCCATTCATAATTATAGCAGTTTCTCTGAAACTGCTATAATTATGAAAAAATGGGTTAACCCTAGCTGGACCTGGCACCCAGACCACTTCATTAAGCTGAAGTGGTCTGGGTGCCTAGAGTGGTCCTTTAAGAGACACACCTCATACACACAACAGGTGTGTGTCCATTCTGATCCATCCTGCAATCAGGTGACAACCACCATTCATCAAGCTTTTCAACCAGTAAGCATGGTGCATCCTTGTGCCAAAGCGGCTTAAAGAAAGTACACTTATTCCAGCAATGACACCTCCCAACATTTGAAATAAACAACGAGGGACACTTTAATTTTTATGGTGTAATTGGAGGCGGGGCTGTCCTGAGACATTTGGTGACTTACTAATAACGATTTATGCAACTAAAATAGAGTGTAGAACAAGAACAATGCATATTATTTACACAGACTGAGTTCGAAACACAGTTATTGTTTAATTTGAAAACACGGTACTGTGAGTATTATTGCTTTTGATCTCTGCTATACTATCAGACACACAACAAAATAGAGCTCCTAGAAAAGAGGGTCATTACGATAGAAAAGAGTGACCTGTGAATTTAAGCCCAAAATAGGGACTGTCCCTCCTAAATATGGACAGGGAGGGGGGGGAGGCACCAAGGTATTTAAAGGTAGGTATTGAAAGAATACTCCCACCCATTTTACTACTGATACAAACTCTTCAAATACCATGCAAACTCTGACAATCATCACATAAGTAGATAAAGAATAAAGTACAACTATTAATATCACAACGGCTAAAAATAACATTCAAATTCAACATTTCTATCCAGACCAGATGGTAGCGATGTGTGTATTTGAATATTCTAAAAACAAAACTGTGGGCATGTTTCTGCTGAAATAAAATCCCATTGACTGCCAGCTGTGCGAGCCTTGAACTAGCTGCAGATATTGCATTCCTACATTGGGGGGGCTGTGGATCCTGCCTCCCTGTCACATGGGTTCAGTGGGAATTTTATTAGGCACGCCTGGCACAGTTCAGTTCCTTTAGTGGTCTGTGAATGACACACAGCACACTAGCGCAAAGGCAAGAATAGTGTAAATCTTTCCTCCTGAAGAGAAGGACTCCTTGGGCGGCAAAATGTCAGACAGAAGCCCCTTTGAAACCGACATGTTAACCCTTACCCGGTTTGTCATGGAAAAGGGAAGGCAAGCGAAGGGTACTGGAGAACTAACCCAGCTCCTGAATTCCATTTTGACAGCTATAAAAGCCATCTCCTCTGCTGTCAGGAAAGCAGGCATCGCTCATATGTAAGTAACGCTCCTTTTATGTGTGATAGAAAATGTGTGGCGTAAACACTACATTATTCCTTACTAATGGGGGTAAAAAAAAAAAAAGTGTTGTATTGTTCTGGACATGCTAAGTTCCTCTGGGTGCTTTAGTCTTAGGGATTGACTCTTAAAAGAACACTCCAAGAACCATAACCACTGCAGCCTGCTGTATTGAGTACGGTGCCATGGTGCAGTCCACCCTAAAGTAATATAACCGTTTTACCATTGTTTAAAACATCTTAGCTGGGTCCTATCAGGTGCACACTGCCCCTCCTTCTGCTATTCTCCTTTACAGGAGAATCCAGTTAACTCTGCAGAGACTGTGTTCATTGCCTATAAGAGTGTTTAATGAGTGATTATATGCTGAGTGGGCTGTAGTGGTGATGGTGCTTGTGGTTTGGTACATTAAACAGGGAATCTGCAAGTATGTCAATGAGTTTTAAAAAATTTGGAGGCACAAATGCAACTCCTCATGTGCAGGAGCTAAGGGATTATAAAAATGCAGGAGTTTGCTATGCAACTAGTGGTGGAAGGACCAAAAGAAAATCAAGTGGGGATTCCATGTAGTGCACAAACCCTGTCCAGCTGACAAATCAAATTCCTGTTAATAGCTGGACAAACTAATCCATTTGTTCATCTAGCGATTAACAGGCAATTGATTCATTCAGCACAGTCCAGGAGCACCCATTAACCAGTCATATCCACCTGAATGAACACCTCAAAACCCACTCTATTTGTCAATAGTGGTAATGTAGGGTGGGAAACAGTCTGTGTATAATAAGTATTCAGAGATCTCTGTGGCTGTTCAACTATGCAGATCACATTGATAGAATGTGCAGGCATTCATGATGCCATACCTTTCAATTCCAGCAGCCTCCATCGGCCATACTGTGAGGGAAAAAAGTATTTGATCCCCTGCTGATTTTGAACGTTTGCCTACTGACAAAGAAATGATCAGTCTATAATTTTAATGGTAGGTGTATTTTAACAATGAGAGACAGAATAACAAAAGAAAAAAAAATCCAGAAAAACGCATGCCAAAAAAGTTATAAATTGATTTGCATGTCAATGGGTGAAATAAGTATTTGACCCCTTGACTCAGTACTTGGTGGCAAAACCCTTGTTGGCAATCACAAAGGTCAGACATTTTTTGTAGTTGGCCACCAGGTTTGCGCACATCTCAGGAGGGATTTTGTCCCACTCCTCTTTGCAGATCCTCTCCAAGTCATTAAGGTTTCAAGGCTGACGTTTGACAACTCGAACCTTCAGCCCCCTCCACAGATTTTCTATGGGATTAAGGTCTGGAGACTGGCTACGCCTTAATGTGCTTCTTCTTGAGCCACTCCTTAGTTGCCTTGACTGTGTGTTTTGGGTCATTGTTACACTGGAATGACCCATTTTCAATGCCCTGACTGAGGGAAGGAGGTTCTCACCCAAGATTTGACGGTACATAAACACGTCCATCATCCCTTTGATGCGGTGCAGTTGTCCTGTACCCTTAGCAGAAAACCACCGCAAAGCAAAATGTTTCCACCTCCATGTTTGACGTGGGGATTGTGCTCTTGGGGTTATAGGCAGCATTTCTCCTCATCCAAACGGCGTGTTGAGTTGATGCCAAAGAGCTTGATTTGTTTTGGTCTCATCTAACCACAACACTTTCACACAGTTCTCCTCTGAATCATTCAGATGTTCATTGGCAAACTTCTGATGGTCCTGTACATGTGCTTTCTTGAGCAGGGGACCTTGCGGGCACTGCAGGATTTCAGTCCTACACAGCGTAGTGTGTTACCAATTGTTTTCTTGGTGACTATGGTCCCAGCTGCCTTGAGATCATTAACAAGATCCTCCTGTATAGTTCTGGGCTGATTCCTCACCATTCTCATGAACAGTGAAACTCCACGAGGTGAGACAAAATGACAAACATTTAGATACACAGAACGAGACTCATCTAGATACATAGGGGCACAAACTGACAGATACAGATACACTAACACACATGCAAAAATTTTGTTATTTTTTTGTCACCCTCCTGTTTCCTAACTTTTAGGTGCAGGAAGTGGACGTCCCCAGGGTCCAGTGGCTGGCTCACCCTGATGAGAGTCAGAGCTCTGGCTCCCTCTTCTCCTTCTCTTTCATTGCGGCCCTCTGTGTAAGCTGGGAGAAAGTGATCAGCTGTCACTTCCTATCAGCACTCAGACATCATCACAGGGGGCATGGTTGTGCTATTAAAGCTCCACAGAGCTGACCGGGCCCCTGAAAATACATTGCACTGGGAGGTCCGAACAGCATGGGCAACCCAATTGGCCCCTGAACATGCGGCCCCGGTGGTTGACTGCAGTAGGTACACCACTGGACCTGTTCCCTCAAACTGAACACCGCAATCTGCCAGAGGGCGAGGGGAGAAGACTGGGGAACAGGATGTTCAACCACGAAATGATGGATGCATGCAGGTACAAATACTGTTACCCAGACTGTACACATATCAAGGTACACATACTGTTTCCCAGGCCGTACACACACACAGCTACATATACTGTTACCCAGGCTGTGCACACCAGTACAAATACTATTGCCTAGGCTGTACACACAGGTACAAATACTGTTACCCAGATTGTACATGCACACAGCTACATATACTGTTACCCAGGCTGTGCACACAGGCACACATACTGTTACCAAGAATGTACATACACAGCTTCACATACTGTTACACAGACTGTGCATACAACTTCACATAGTGTAACTAGCACTATGTGTGTTTTGTGCACCTGTTACACACAAACTGGCTCTAGGCCTGTCCCTTCTCCTTGCCAATCATCTTCTTTTGTATAGGAGATCACCGTGTTCAGTCTAAGGAGCCATGCACAGATTTGGCTCCCTCAGAGTGAATACAACAATCACTGAGACCTAAACATTTGTTCTGGTCAGCAAGCCACAGACACAAGGCAGCTGTAAAATGGGGTGCCTGCTCTGTCTATTTAAAGTGCCAATCAGGTATGTGTCTGTAGGGAGGTGACTACTCTACCTAATGGGAAATCCAGCCCTGACTATCTCCGTTACCTTACATGTGACATCCCAGTGGTTTTAATTATGAACAGGAATATGAGTCTATCTGGTTTTATTACCTTTAAATATTTGGATATTCCAATTATGTTGTAGACGTTTCTTTTTTTTTTTTTAAATTCTTTATTTTTGTCATGCATGTATCAACAACAAATACACAGAGCCACATCAGCGTCTGTGTGCAGCTTACAGCATTTAACATTGTCACAGGTTAATAAAGCACATTTTTAAAGTTTAAAAAGTAATAACAAGACATAAAAAAAGAAAAAGACAATTCTATTAGCAGACAGTGAGGTGGATAACATGCAGAACTCTATACTCATTCAAATTCCGTTCTAATGAGCAATGGCATTCTTGCTACTTACATTGCTTATTGATCTAAAAAGGGACGACACAATATTTCTAAACTTTGTATTAGTCCTCTAGATCCAAAATAAACATATGCATGTATTACAGACTTTAGCCACTAGATGTCGCCAGAAGATTACATTGCAATTTTTCCTTAACCCATTAAGGACTGAGCCAAATGTACACGTTGTGATCAAAACGTAAACAAAAACTGGAATTTGCGCTATATGTCTGCTCAGGCGTAATTTGCCTCTTTCATATTATGTGCACCCACACTTATATATCATTTTATTCAGGGGAAACGGGGATTTCATTTGACATCAAATATTTAGGTATAAAACATAATTTAATATGAATAAAATATAAAAAAAGGGAGAAAATAAGAATTAAAAAAAAATTGTTTAGTTCTACGTGACATTCTAACTGTGAATGTCATAATACTGTTTGCTTTTGCTGCAATAAAATACACATATTTGTATTCAGCAATGTCTCACGTGTAAAACAGTACCCCCTATGTACAGGTTTTATGGTGTTTTGGGAAGTTACAGGTTCAAATATAGCACGTTACATTTTTCAGTTTTTTTCACATTGAAATTCGCCAGATTGTTTATGTTGCCTTTGAGACCATTTGCAAAAGTAGACAACCCAAGGTATTGCAAATGGGGTATGTCCAGTCTTTGTTAGTGTAGAACAAACATATTCCGTTCGGCAAGAGCACACTCAGCTCAAAGGGGAGGGAATGTTACTCAATTTTGTATCGTACTTGCATCCGACATTAACCTTTTATGTACCTTACTAATAGCTCCTTATATACGCTCCCTTGGGGAGTACTTTTAGATTATAGTGACTTTTAATCTATGTGGGTTTGGTCTAGTTATTCTATCTGATTGCCACTTGTGTTATGGTATTATGTTATTTTTATGTTATGCTAAGATTGGTGGGATAGATCCTGACTACATTAAATCAGAAGGAACATAGAAACACCTGGTTTATTCTCATTTTCATGTTGGTTGTTTTACCTAGGTAATATGTATTTTCACACAGATTCTGTTTCATCATGGTTATTTTGTTGCTTTCTGTTAAAATATGTTATAGGCTGCTGCTATCAAATTTACCACTCAAGTACAATTTATGTTCTGCTGATTTATAACAGGGTATGTGTACATTTATAATATGACTCCTATGACAAGCATTGCATACTTAAGTACAACAGCTTCACAGTATCTGGTATTAACAAGTCTCTGAAATGTTAAAAATCTCAACAAATAACGGTTCACGATTACTATTGTTACGCTATATAGCGGTTACATCGTGGATATTAGTCTTCAACGCTAAGGGATCCACGGTCAATTAAATATTGTTGTATAAATAGTCACGTTAGCAGCAACGTCAGAAGGGTGTTAACTAATTAAAGGAACACAAGGTGGTTTCACAATACTCGTAACCGACTTAGGTTGAATGGACCTACATACCAATATTCTTGTATTAAATACTAGTAGTCACTTTACTTTCATAAACAAGCATATCATTCTGTCATATACTCAGGATCAAAGATACATGCATCTTATAGTATCCATGTTGCATATTTTATAGACTAGCATCGGCGCACGGACACATCTAGATTACCACCACTATTAACCTGGCTGAAGATTCTAAAAAATTCATTCTTGTCAAACCAGGTAGGCATCATTCTTTTGACTACGTAAGGTCCAAAGACTCAGTGCCTTAGTTATATTTTCCCTTCCACGTACTTTAGGGGCGCAAATTATCAGGGAACCTTCTAGACTTGGCTTACGCACTCAAGCTACAAGTCTTACAGGTATGTTCCCCGACATCATTTATACAAACCTAAGAAACCTACACGTTTTCCTTTTCTGCAGTTACTGGCTGTTCAGGGCAATAGGAGCCAAATTTAGTTTCTATAGGCCTCTATGCCTTCTATTAGTGGTCACGCAAGGCCAACACCCATCCTCATACTCGGAGGTATTCGGGCCTCGGTCCAATGCATAGCTAGCCGCCTCGCATGTTGCATAGAGAGGGACTCCCCTGTCACGGCCAATTCTATTTTTCTGCAACTACTCACGGAGAGGCCAACACCCCACCACTACTTTCTGTGGTATAGCCCTCGGCCCAACACATAGTTAGAGCCTCTCAAGCCGCTTGGCACTAGTAGGGCCTCACCTATCACCAATGAAGCTAATTTCTTCACCGCTTGGTACTAGTCAGCAGCCAGTACCTACACAGAAACATTCTAAATCTCAATTTTCCTTTGTAGTATGTCTCAAGCTCCAGAAGGTGGAGACAAACTTTCACTCCCTCACTCCCCAACTAGGTCTGGTTCAACTTCCAGAAGACGAGAATCTGTCAGTCCATCAACAATTAGATCATGGACCATTCCGCGCATACAGGCCGAACTATGAAGAAGGAGCATTCCATTCCCGGCTGCTGCCAGGAAGGCGGAATTGTTCAGATTAATGTATGCGAACACCGGAGGTGAGGAAGGGTCTAGTGGCACCAGGAACATGCCTGATTTACAAACAATGATGGACACTCTTCTCTCCTCCATGGGCCAGATTAGGGATCGGATTGATAGATTGGAGGCGGGACATACAACAACTGACCCACCTTTGACCAATGCCATGTCCCTATGGCAATCTTGCAGGGTAATGTTGTGACTCCAGTATCACAGTTATATACACTAATGATCACACCTGCCCACATGGTGCCCCTTCAGCTACGTAACGATATCCTGGAGGGTAAGGATGTGAATCTTATATCACTCCTCATTGCTTCCCAGGATATAGTGGCGAACAAAACCTATGCTTATGGGGATCTATCAATAGTCCTCAAGGCCAGGGATCTCAGGCTCAATAAAAAAAACTGACCATTTCACATCTGTTGATATTTTCCAATTGTCTCAAGTATTAGCATCTCACCTTTCACCACAGTTCTCAAACTTCTTGGTCACAGGGTTTTCAGAGGGCTTTCACACAGGTATTGTAGCATTACCATTCGGTATTACTGAAAGTAAAAATGTACTATCTGCTGTCAACGACCCAAGTACAGCTGATTCACTGTTAACACAGGAACTGAATCAAGGGTTTGTCATAGGCCCCTTTTCCACACCCTCATTCTCTAGTTGGCGTACAAACTTGATCGGTATTGTAACGGGGAAACACTCTTCAAAGAAGAGACAGATCGTAGATCTTTTTGCACCTTACTCCTCCACCATTCCCAGTTTAAATTCATTAATCCCTTCGGAAGAATTCTCATTGCAGTACACCACGATAGATGAAGCAGTACAAACCATCATAGTGGCAGTGATAGGAGCATGGTTAATCAACACAGATATTGTTAACGCCTTTAAACTGCTCCCTATTTACCTGTCGCTGTGGCATCTGCATGGTATTAAATGGAGAAACCAGTACTATTTTTTTTTTTTTTTTTTTCAACAGGCTGACGTTTGGGTCTATAAGTATCCCGAGGATTTTTTACACCTTCGCGGAGGCCTTGTGCTGGTTACTCTTAAATTCATGTAGATTGCCCATCAGTACTACACTACCTGGATGATTTTCTCTTTATAGAGAGTAATCATAACCCACAGTAATCATAACCCAAGTATTCAGGCCGCCAAACAGCTGTTTGGGAGGTTGGGGGTCCCTATTTCCCTCTCCAAAACTATAGGTCCAGATACTACGGTCAATTTTCTGGGTATTGAACTGGACTCAGTGGCCATGGAGGCCAGCTTGCCGCATGACAAAATTCAACGTATCCTAACAGACATTGGTAAATACCTGCGACGAGGTTGTTGTAGTCGGAAGGAGTTACAGTCATTGTTGGGGTCGTTGAATTTTGCCATGAGAATCATCCCGCAGGGCAGGTCTTTTATTTCTAGGCTTTTATGTCTATTACCTAACCTGCCCTCCGAGGACAGCATAGTTTCTCTGGATACCCACAGCTGATTTACGAATGTGGCAGGATTTCTTATTCCAGTGGAATGGGAAGTCCATGTTCATACCTCCACTGTCCCCCAATTCCCCAATACTGTGGACAGATGCAGCAGCTTCTTCTGGTTTCATGGCCATCTGTGGTGACCAATGGTTACGGGGCAGTTGGCCGCCTGAGACCAGAACATTGGAGGCTTTTGGTCATACGTCAGCATTGCTAGAAATATACCCTATCGTGGCAGCAGCAGCAACTTGGGGACACTCCTGGGCGGGACACACGGTCCATTGTTACTCAGATAACCAAGCAACATGCTACATTATTAACAAAGGCCGGTCCCCCTCTCTAGTCATTAGGAGTTTCATGAGGAGATTAACTTGGCTCACGGCAACTCATCAGTTCTTTTTGTATTGCACACACGTACCAGGTATTCAGAACGTAGCAGATGACCATTTGTCACGATTTCAGTTTCAGGAATTTCACCTACTCCATCCCTATGCCTCCTTGATAGCAACTCCGGTCCCCCAGTTACAAGACCTCATATTGGATTGAGTCAACTCCTAGAGCATGGCAGATTACTATCACAGAGAGCTCTGTCCGAAAACACCAGGTGTACATACAAAAGAGCACTTAATGTTTTTGTAAAATTCACAAGGGACTTCTAGGTGGCAGACGTATTCGCTATCGAAACTTTGGTAGTATTTGCCTCTTTTTGCCACTTGAATTTAAATCTGTCTTACAATACAATAAAACTCTACTTGACCGAGATCCAGGGCGAAATACCGTAACTTTGAATTGAAAACGCACTGCTCCACTTCACAGACCAATCTATCGCACTATACAAGAAATCCATCATGAGGCACCTACTCAACGCTGCTAAATCCCTGATTCCAATGATGTGGAAAAGCACCCAACCACCCACGATTGTGCAATGGCTACAGAAAGTTGAGGAGATTCACTAAGCAGAAACAAAATACGCAGACTTACTGGGACGAAGCACACAGAACTCTGGGGGCCATGGTACATGTATCTAACACACCCACAGTCACAGGGAGGAAGGAAGGAGTCGAAAAACAAGAGACAACAGGACACACACGAGCAGCCCATAACACAAGCAAGACACCCTTTCCTGACCCCCTCCCCCGCCCTCGTGCTACCTCAGAGCTCTTGCGAGCACGACCGGTGCCCACGCAACCTACCCCGGACCCTCTGGGATGTAAAAACGAGAAAACCGCGAACAATAACCTAAACACGCAGGGACCGGCAAAATGGGCAGTGAGGCGGGAGGGAAACTCAACTGGTAAGGGTTGTTACATAACCTCTAACATAATCGAACTGTAGCAGCGCTAACTAAAAGTAGAGGAAGAACGTGACAGGGACATTTGCCAAATGAACAAACAAACTAAAACTGGAGACAAACCCTTCACTGAACACACATACAGGAATAAGATCACCCTCACACTATCATACACAGGACATCCTGAACCCTGAAAAGTGGATAAGACGCGCACAGCTGAGACAGAGACCACGATAGGTACAACACTCCCCCACCCCCTCTTTCAACCCCTCCGCCCCCTGAGATCACTAACCTAGACCTTATACTGTTTCAAGACATGTCAGAACAAACTAACTAACTGGTAAGCGAGAAACCGCATAACAACCGCACACAGCCAACTCGAAAGATGACCTACTACTGACAAATACCTTGAACTGAGTAAGGGTAACCTACAAATCTGCAACTGACTGTCATAAATATGAAACTCACCTTGCCTAAGAGACCTGCGAGTCTCCCTTATTGCCGCTCCACTAGAGATCTGCGCATCTCAAAATGCTGAATGCTGCTTCACATATTGGAAACCTGTGTGTTTCACACTGCACACAGACTAAATGCTTGTTGAATACTAAACAAAACTTCAATAAAACGATATTTACACAATAAAACTCTACCTCACGGGCCTACAACACCACATGTTAACCTTATTTCCAAACAAACAGACCTTCCTCTCCTCCTACCAAATTAAGACATTATTAAAAGGAATTCAGAGGAGCAGTACTACACAGGCACCACAAAGACTGCCTATTACAGGGAATGTGTTTAGATCACTATCAGACCTATTGGATAACTCTCCTTTCGAACCCAAAACAAATCAGACTTTAAAGGTAGCTATATATTTAGCTTTTTGCGGGTTCCTTAGGCCCAGAGAGTTTACCGCAATCCTTACTACCGACACTAGATCCTGTCTTAACGTTGGGCAGCTAATTAAACAGGGAGACCATTTCCTCCTCTCACTGTTACATACAAAAACTACGCAACCAGGGCAAACTGTCACAATACCCTATTATCCCACCTTTAATAAATGGTGTCCCGTTAAGACTTTCGACACCTATCTGTCTACTTTACAAGCACCTACAAATCTCCTGTTACTCACCTTACAAGGCACCATCCTCACGACTAGCAAATTCATGCTATATATTACAATCTTGTTGATGAGGCTAGGCCTTAACACCTCACACTACTCATATGGCATTCTTTCCGTATTGGAGCAGCTTCAGCAGCATCGCACCGGAACATACCCGTTCATCTTATCAAGTCTCTGGGGCGCTGGAAGTCTACAGCATACTGAAGATACATACCACAACCTGAGAGAGACAAACTTTCAGACATTTGGCATTATGATGTTATGTTGTATTAAGTTATTTTAAAAAGAAGAAAAGGAGGTGTGCCAGCGCTAATATTTCAAAATATTCTGACAATGCACAAAGAATATATCATAAAGTAGCTGCTATAACATCAAGATATCTTTAAAAATAGAACTTGTAAAAATGGAAAATAGATGTAGCGCTATATTTAGTTGTAACAAATGGAGATAAAAAGGCGATACCTTACAGAGTCTTTACAAATTAAATAAACTAAAAAAACTAAAAAACATAAAGAAAAAACGGAACAGACATAGTGTATACCGTATAATACAATATAATAATAGAATCAAAAAGGGGTAAAATCCCACTCACACTTTTTAGAGCTATAATATAATAGCTCAATTTCAGCGCTCTTGGGGTTCAGTAAAGGCGACCCTCACCCTTCTTGAGTCTCAGTGCTTCTGATGTTCTATTAAAATGAAACAGAACAAATATGGTGCAGTACCGTTGGTCTTTAAAGGAGGATAATAAACCAAGATGGGGTACTTACAAACTTAGAGCCATCCAAATCAGCTCTGATCTGTGCATTTATGTGGTTAAGGTCCACACACCTTCTTTAGAAAAAATGTAGCAGGGATGATGCCAATAATGTGTAAAAGTACAATATTTATTATAATAATAACATTATAAAATATATATATATATGTATAAAAAATATATATAAAATAAAATTGGCATATAAAAATCCAAAGTCTCACAGTCTTTATTCCAGGACGCGTTTCGCCTATATCGGCTTCCTCAGCTGGATAATAGTGATGTAGTCTTCCTTGGGATTCTCCTGCTTTATATACCCCTCTCCCGGGTGGTTAATTGATGTTTGGCTTGTATTTTCGCCGGCAATCACCTTCGAAACCCAGTCCAGTAAAATAAAGCAGGATTTTATAGATAAAGGCTATGAGGATTTTAAATTAGAAAAAGCGAGAGAAGCAGTGAAAAATACAGACAGAAAAAATCTTTTAAAATATAAAGAGAAAAAGGAAAATACATCTATGGAAATTCCTTTTATATGTAATTTTAGTACTGATAACTATAGGGTAAGAAAAATAGTCTCCAAGTTCTGGCCTATTTTATTGCAAGATCCGATTGCTAAGACTTTTTTACCAGAAAAACCTAAATTCATACACAGAGGAGTTAATAATTTACGTGATACCCTCACTTCAAGTTTTTTGAGGGAGAAAAAAGATAAAAACACCTTTTTAAATACAGAAAAAGGTTTTTTCGGTTGTGGCCAATGCCTAGCGTGTAAGAGGACTAACAATAAAAAACGCCAGATAAAAAGTTTTACTAATAAGGAAGGAACAGAATATCCAATTAAAGATTTCTTAAGCTGTCATTCTAAAAATCTAATCTATTTAATATGTCCATGCGGTTTAAGATATGTAGGAAAAACAACTAGACCACTACATATCCGAATTGAAGAGCATGGCCGCAATATTGTAAAAGGTTTTGAGAAACATAGTGTTTCAGCACATTATAAGATGGCCCATAACTGTGACACTAAGGATACTATATTTTTGGGTATTAAAAAAGTGGACAAAGATTGGAGAGGTGGAAATTTTGATAGTAAAATGAGTAGAATAGAGATGGAGTGGATTTTTAAGTTAAACACTCTGGTCCCTAATGGACTCAATGCTGATTCAGAAATGTGCCATTTTTTAACATAAATAATTCCTAAGGTGTTTTTTTTTTTTTTTTTTATCCCTCCAACCTTTCTCCACATTTCCATTTATATGAATACATTTTTTTTGTCTGGTCCCAAATTATATGCTATTCTAATTTTGGCCTTTTAGATATACCGATGAACCCTCTTTTAAATGTGTTATAAAATTATTTTAATGTGTGTGTGTGTGTGTGTGTGTGTGTGTGTGTGTGTGTATGTATATATATATATATATATATATATTTATATATATATATATATATATATATAAAATATCCAAATACTTGCACTCCAGTTGTATTTTCATAAAGCCCGGTGCTGATCAAGCAAAATAATATATACAGGAAAGTAGAAAATAGCACTCTCAGGACTTCAAAAAGGTATTGTGAAAAAATAACTTAGCTTTTTATTCAGCAACTGCCACAATATTTCAACGTTTCAGTTCTTCAGCAGAACTTTCGTCAGGATAAGGTGCATTGTAAAAACCACAAATAAATAGCAAAAGGATACATATTACATTAGTGCCATACATTGTATACAGGTGGTGCTTACCCCTTGCCTCAGTGTGGTTCCCCTAGAAACCGCCGAAAAAAACGCGGGTAAAAATGACCTTTGAGAGTGTATTCTGCAGCTGGATCGGGTGCCGAGATTCTCGGCTGGAACGTGGTTAGATTTGTTTGGAGGTTGCTATGGCAACCAGCCGCGAGTGTTCAGCCGGGCGGGGGAGTCCGAGAGACTCATAGTAAGAAAATAATCTATGTGTGATCGCAAAGAGGCTCTGTAGCTCTCGTTGCTAACCATAGGGGGGAGGGATGGGAGGCAGTGGTCCAGGGGCAGGACCGGTAAGAAAATGTGCCGATCTCTATTGGGGGGCTGAGCACGGGGAGGTTATATATTGAGCAGGGTGGCAGAAGCCCATGGGGTATAACATGGGAAAATACATAAGCAGGAGGGGTGGAAAGCAGAATAAATCCTGCTGTAATATTGGGGAAAAGCTAGTTCTAAATTCGATGCTGTATGGTGGGCATATATGTAGAGAAAGAATTATTTTAAGAATAGGGTCAGAAATTGCACAAGTTGAATGTACATGTTAAGTACTCCACATAAGATCACTGCCCAGGTAGCATAAGGCATAGGGCATCTAGACTGATTCTGCATGGTGTATTTAGATAGAAAATAGTAAATGGAGCCTAAGTGTGATGGGCCATATCTGATGATGCTATGCATGTCTAAAAAGACTGTGATATGGTGCCCCATAGGAGTCCACTAATTATGTGAAGAGACATCGTAAGTATGTATATGGGTATAGACTGGCATGTCTGCAATGCAATGGAATAAACTTATCTACTCATGTATTGTGTCCATACTTGTAAGGAGGTGTCCATATCACATGTGAAACAACAATACCAATTCCAGTAATTACATATATACATACATTTTTATACATTTTTATACAATGATGCTCAATAAAGAAAACAATGATTAATATGAAATCCTAGATATGGATCCCTGTGGACAATAGGGGGAAAAAAAGGGGGGAAAGACAGGGATAAACAGGGGAAATAATCCCCCGCTTGCCAGGGGACTTGTTATGTATATAGACATGGAATAGGTAATAGCCAATATGAATCCTATCATATAAGGTCTATAAAGTGCTGATCAAATAAAGATGCCCAATGTATATTTTTCATTAAGTCCTTTAGGTTGTACTGTATCAAGTGTTCTGATCCAGTGTAACTCCCTCTGTAGTAAGAGCCTTTTTCGGTCACCACCACGTATCGGTTGTGGGATATGGTCGATTGCCTGGAATTTCATAGTTGGAAGAGGATGGTTAAACTCTAAGAAATGTTTTGCCACCGGCTGTTCTGAGTTTTTATCTCTGTAGGCTACCCGTATACTAGAACGATGATTGCGTATTCTCTCCCGTAGTGGTAGATCGGTTTTCCCTACGTACATTAAACCACAGGGGCACCCCAATTTGTATACCACAAAATCGCTTGTGCAGGTGAGTCTATGTCTTATGAGGTATTTTTTGCCTGTATGAGGATGAGTAAAAGTTTTGCTAGGGATCATGTGGCTGCATGTTACGCAGCCTAAACATCTGTAGCATCCCAGATTCTGATGTATATTCGATTGACTGTAACAGTGTGTAGGGTCAGTTTTAACCAGTAAGTCCCTCAGGTTACTTCCCCTCCGGTAGCACATCATTGGGCGCTGCTTAAATTGTACTGGTAGACTTGTGTCATTCTGTAACATTCTCCAGTTATGGTCCACCGACCGTTTGATGTCATCTGATATGGTTGTATATGTAATAGGGAAAACCAGTCTGTCATTTCCAGCTGTGTTGTGTACCGGTACTTCATAGCATCTGTCCAGTGCCTTTGTTAAGTCTCTTGAGTGGTAACCTCGTGACAGGAACTTGTCCCACATAGTTTGTAGTTGGAGCTGGGTGTTGATTATATTGGAGTTGTTCCGTATCACTCTCATAAATTGTGACTGTGGGAGTGAACGAATAAGATGTTTAGGATGGTGACTTTGAGCGTGAAGGAGAGTGTTCCTGTCTGTTGGTTTGCTGAATAGTGTATATGCTATTTTATCATCTTCCCGATATAGGCGAACATCTAGGAAGTCAATCTGTTTGTCACTTGTAGTCATTGTCAGACGAACTGGTGTGTCCAGACTGTTAATAGTATTGAGCATTTCATCTGGGGTGGGTCCTACGTTCTTCCAGATGATAAAGATGTCATCGATGAAGCGACGATAAAATAGTATGCTGTCATGGAACGGTATGAGTATCTGTTCTTGCTCAAATATATACATGTAGCTATTGGCATACATCGGGGCCATAGCGGCTCCCATTGAAGTCCCCGAAATTTGTTTGTACCAGGTCTGTTCGAATCTGAAATAGTTTTGACTGAGTACCAGATGAAGAAGTTCCATAATGTACTCAATTGGTGGTCCTGTATATGATGTTGATGATGCTAATATCCTCCGCATGGCATTGATGCCCATATCATGTGGAATGATTGTGTATAGGCTTTTAACGTCACATGTTATGAAGGTGATGTCAGGTTCCAATCCAGTGAACTGTTGCAGTGATTTGAGAAGACTTGGAGTATCTTTGATGCATGTGGGTAGTTCCTCAACAGGTTGCTTGAATAGGTGGTCCAGCCATTTGGCTATTGGTTCTAATGCCCCACCTATTGCTGAGACTATAGGTCTTCCTGGTGGTGATATGGGATCTTTATGTATTTTTGGCAGTGTGTAAATAACTGGCGTTCTTGGGTTTTTCTGTAGTAAGAAATCG